TTGAACTCTAGACCTTTGGAAGAGCTTAACCGATGAGCCATCTCTCCAGCCCCTCCCCAGTTACATAGTCTTGCTTTTTAGCCCACGTTGGTCTCAAACTCAAGATCCTTCTGCCTCAATCTCCCATGTGCTGGGATTGCAGGTGTGTTGCACTTGGCCTTACTTCGGACAAGCCTAATGTGCATTTCCTTTACAGAGGTTTCTTCTACAGAGGATGGCTTTCCAGAGCTACATCTTCGTCTGCATTTCTGCAAACAGCCACTGAACAACATGTCAAAGAAGTACACTGCAGGGCGGCATATTTTGGGCATTGGGCATTGGGCATTTATTCAAACTTGGCTACCCAGTGGAGCTAGAAGACCTTGTTGTTCTTAGTTAGATCTCAGGAAACGAGCCCCACCTGCTGGTGGCTGTGTGTCTTTAATCCTGACTAGAGCTGAGTCACTTGGAGCATCTGAGGTGCTTTTAAGTTAAGGCAGGCGTGCCAGGGGTTGTCACTGTTGTATGGTAGTAGAAGTGCCCTGGATGGACTGTGGACAGCAGTTCAGATGCCATTCTGTAGCATGGGTGGGAGCTCTCACCTGTAACCCCAGCACTCACAAAGCTGACACAGCAGGAGGATCTGGATCAGGCTGGCTGGAGCTATATAATGAAACTCTTGTTTAAAAATAGTGTGGTGTGTGTGTGTGTGTGTGTGTGTGTGTGTGTATTGGGGTCGTAGGTCAGTGAGAGGGCATTTGTCAATTTGATTGGGTCTGGAGCCAACTAAATTCAAGCCTCTGGAAATTTCCGTGAGGAATTCTTTGGACCAGATTATTTGGAGTGGGATGAGCCGTGGATGAAAATATGAGGGAGGAGGATGCTCTGCTTTATGTCTGTTGCCTTCGCTCTGCTGGCAAGTACATCCACCCTGCTCCTGGGGCATCACCACACTGATGTCAGAGCCAACTTCCCTGGGCTCCCAACATAGACTCCAGAAACTGTCCAGGCCTTCAGCACTAGTGACGGATCACTGAGACAGCCAGCCTCACAGACTGAGTGACTATTGTTTGATCACCCAGACCATATCATGTAAGCCAACCTAATTAATCTCACATGTATATCCTGAAATCTTTTGAGAATATAATATGCTCTGCTACAACCTTGACAAAAGAATTCATCCCATCGGTTGTTTCTCTGGAGAACCTGGACTAATACACTGGCCTAGCATGCATGAAGCCTTAGGTTTAACCTCCAGCCCTTTACAATAAATTAGTAAATTGGTCAGCAAGATGTCTCAGTGGGTACATGGACTTGCTCCAGAGCACCTTATGCCAGAAACATAAACATGTTTGTGACTTTTCAGTGACAGAATTTACTGAGTAACAATAAATTCACAAATGTCAGTGGGTTTTTTATTTTTATTTTTAAATGTCAGTGGTTTTAATGGCAATAATTTGTCATATAAAATCCATCTATTTTAGATCCAGGCAAGGTGAATGCAGGTTTTTGTTTTTTTTTTTATTCTATTCCAATCATAATTACTAGCTTTTGGGGGGGGAGGGGTTTTTGAGACAGAGTTTCTCTGAATTGATTTGGAGCCTGTCCTAGAACTAGCTCTGTAGTCCAGGCTGGCCTCGAACTCACAGAGGTCCACTTTTCTCTGCCTCCACAGTGCTGGGATTAAAGGCATGCGCCGCCTCCACCACCACCACCAACAACAACAATAAGGAAAGATTTCAGAAGTGAGCTGAGTCTGTATTGATAACTAATCAGACCAACAATGGAGGGAGTGGCTGGAACCAAGGTTTGAAAGCAGGAAATGGTGGCTTTAAGCCCAGGCTGGGTCAGACAAACAGGCTTAGGGGCAGGCAGTTGTGTAGGAAAAGGCAACAGTGGGAAACTGAGCTAAGCTGAAGCTCCCGGGAAAGACAGAGAACCCTTTACTTGTCAGTCAGATATCAGGTGATAGGTTTTTGGAGCTTTACTATCACAATGTTAGGTCTCCATCACTTTGGGCTCCATGTGAGGCAGTTATACTCATTCCTTGATCTGGCCTGTGTGATAAGTTCTTGGACCTGGTTTCACCAATATGATTTTACATTGAAAATTCATTTATTTTTATGAGTATGGGTGGTTTGTCTGCATGTAAGTCTATCATGAGCATGCCGTGCCTGAGCAGACCAGAAGAGGAGCCTGGAACTGGAGTTACAGACAGTGTGAGCTGCAGGTGGGTGCTGGGAATTGAACCCAGATCCTCTGGAAGAGCAGCCAGTGCTCTTAACCACTGAGCAATCTTTTTTTTTTTTTTTTTTCCGAGACAGGGTTTCTCTGTGTACCTTTGGAGGCTGTCCTGGCACTCGCTCTGGAGACCAGGCTGGCCTCAAACTCACAGAGATCTGCCTGCCTTGGCCTCCTGAGTGCTGGGATTAAAGGCATGCTCCACCAATGCCCGGCCACTGATCTTTGCAGCCTCTGATTATCTTTCAGTGAAACACAAAGCCGTCTCTAGTAGGCTTTCTTTTAGGCGACCAACTAGCTCCCAAATCACGATGCAGAGACTGATTATTGGTTATGAATGTGTAACTTTATCTTATGCTAGTCCCACTAGCTCTTATAACTTAAATTAAGCTGTTTCTGTTTGACTGGAATCTCCAGCTTGGCCCGACTCCTCCCTCTCCAAATCCTGCCCTTTCGGAAAGACTGCTAAAAGTTGGGTTCCACATTTCTGGTGGTCAAGGTGGCTCCTCCTCTAAGGCTGCCAGCTCCCTAACTCCTCACCCAAAGTTTATAATTAGGCACAAACCAAACCCAGCATGTGGAGGATGAGTCATCACCCTGTGCCTACAGGGTATTTAAACCCCCTCCTTTAGAATAGCCATGTGATTTCTATCTTGTTATCCCCCCCCCCGTACCCCCACCTCCTCTCTGGGGGCTGGAGGACTCACCTGGAGTGCTTTGCCCAAATAAACCTGCTCCTTTACTTTTAATTAGGCTTGATCTGGCTTACTGTTGTCAGCAGAGAAACTTATTATCAGATTTTCTTCATCTACATTTTACCTCAGCTTTTTACCTTTCTTTCCTTTTGTATGTGCTACTTCTCTGTTACTCTGCATCTGTCTGTCTGGTGGCTGCCTGGTTGGCCCTGTGTGTCTTTCTCTCTCCCTTCCCCTTTTCTGGAGCCTATACTTCTCCTTTTATTTATTCTCACTGCCCACCTGCCCTGCCTATCCCTTTGCCTAGCTATTGGCCATTCAGCCTTTTGTTAGACCAATCAGGTGTCTTAGGTGAACCAGCAACACATCTTTACATAGTTATACAAAGGCAGCATAAACAAATGTAATCCAACTTTGCCTAGTTAAAATAATATTCCGGGCTGGAGAGATGGCTCAGAGGTTAAGAGCATTGGCTGCTCTTCCAGAGGTCAATTCCCAGCAACCACATGGTGGCTCACAACCACCCTGAATGAGATCTGGTGCCCTCTGATGGCATGCAGGCAGAAGAAGACTGTATAATAATAAATAAATAAATAAAATCTTAAAAAAAATAATGTTCCACAAGTCATCTTAACTTTAAAGACAAAAATGTTTTTATGTGTCCATGTGTGTGTGACTGCTTATCGTGGACTACATGCATGAAGGTACTCACAAAGTCCAGAAGAGGGCATTGGATACCCTGGAACTAGAATAGTTGCAAGCTGCCATGTGGGTGCTGGGAACTGAACCTGGGTCCTCTGAAAGGGCTTTTAACCACTTAGGCATCTCTCCAGGTTCATTCATCTGAACTATATCATGGTAAGTGGAGAGATAAATCCTATTATCTAATTGGCTTTGGGGGGGGCAAGACTAACAAACTTATAATTTATGTCAGTGGAGGTTGAATGTTGGAACAAGACCATCTCTGAATCTAGGCTCTGTCTCTCTTGAACCAAAAGCCTGAATTAATTCCTTTGATGTCTGCATTTCTAAGACAAGGCTCTACCATGAATTGCCGAGTTGTGAAAAAGCAAATTCATTAAGACATTAGGAGTAACATATGCACAAACTTGTTACTGATTGGCAGTACTTACATTTGTGCTGGCCAGGGGTGGCTAGCCCAACTCCCAGTCAGCCTGCCATCGCACCTGGTGCTCTGGAGTAAACTGTGTTGATGAGCTGTGGGGCTCTGGAGGTTACGAGTAGTACAAGCAAGGCCTTTATCAGGAATAACCCCGCTATAAATCGAGGAGCATCTGATTTCAAAGGACAGAAAAGAGAGAAGCTTAAAGTCTCTTCTCTTTGCAATAGGGAGAAGTAAGCATCTTACTGTAATTGTTTTTTTTTTTTTTTGGTTTTTCGAGACAGGGTTTCTCTGTGGCTTCGGAGGCTCACCGAACTAGCACTTGTAAACCAGGGTGATCTCGAACTCACAGAGATCCCCCTGCCTCTTGCCTCCCAAGTGCGGCATGCGCCACCACCGCCAGGCCTTACATTAATTTGTACTCACCCTAAAAATGTGTTTCTGAGTTGAGCTGTGCTAGGGTATATGTTGTGTTGATAATTGTGTTTGTACAGGATGTCCGAGATAACATGTATGAAAGTACTTAGTGTTGAACAGACCTCCTGCCACACCGATATTAAGGAGACAAAAGGATGTAGTTCACGAAGACACAAGCCTAAATCCTCAACTTCTAACGTTCCGCCCACCTGGTTTGTCCCGTCACTTCCGTGTACATGGACTACAATTCCCAGGATGCCTCAAGACTCCCACCAATCAGGGAGATGGTTGGGTCCTGGAGAAGGCTGGGTCTGGAGGAAGTTTAGCCAATGGGTGAACTGTACAGAATCGAAAGCTTCTTTGATTGCACCGAAGGGATTGGAATCTTTGGCGCCTTTGTTTTAGTGGAGGGTGGGTGACAGACGGGTAAATTGACCAATGAGAAGGTGAGTAGGCGGATCCAGAGCGTGTGGGCGGAAAGAGGTGCTGACTGACAAGCTGTTCGTCCAATGAAAGGCAGAGTCGCTGTTGCGAGGCCGGCGATGCTCTAGAGGCCGGCGTGTGTGGAAGCTGTGTGAGAGATGGCGGAACCCGGCAGGAGACGGGGTCCGAGGTCCCGCGGTGGCGGCGCTGGCCGAGGCGCTCGAAGAGCCCGGGTCGCCCGTGGCCGGCGTCCTCGCGCCCCGCAGTCTCTGCCTCGGTTCATTCCAGACACAGTGCTTGTGGACTTGGTCAGTGACAGCGACGAGGAGGTCCTGGAAGTCGTCGCGGACCCGGTAGAAGTGCCGGCCGCCCGGCCCCCCGCGCCGGCCGCACCTGGGCAGGACAGCGACAGTAACAGTGAAGGGGCGGACGAGGGGCCTACGGGAGCTCCTCGTACCTTGGTCCGGAGGCGGCGGCGGCGGCTGCTGGATCCCGGCGAAGCGCCGGTGGTTCCTGTGTACTCCGGGAAGGTGCAGCCAGGTCCCCAAGGAGGACTGTTGAGGGAGTGCTAAGGCTAGCGTTGTGGGTTTGGCTCAGGGCGGTGGGATGTGTGGAGGGGTGTCATGGATACCTTTAGGTTGGAGATACGAGGGGCTTCGGGTATGTTTGAAGTGCGCAGATACCTGCGATTGTAGTCTTCAGCAGAGGCAGGCTGAGGGACTAGGTACCAGAGGATTCAGAGAGGATTTGGAAGGACTGGGGACTGGTATTTAGCGCATGCTGCATTTTGAGGTTGGAAGCAGTGGTAAGGAAGCCAAAGAGTTGAGATATTTATTGGGAGGTGGTGGGAAGGTGTATGGGGATTCAGAAAGGACTGGGGAGGGGGGAGGGGATTCCAGGAACCCAGGGTCCTTAGGTTTTCCGGTGAGCCAGGTGGCTGGGGCTAGCAAAGTGGTTAATGGGGAACTAAGCCTGCATCCTCAGAGTGCCTTAGGGAAACGGGGTATGAAGATGGTACTGTATTTTTGGATCATAAGAAAATTAGACTCTGGGTACCTTTCAGAGGTTGGAGTACTTAGGGAAGACTTAAGAGCTAGAAATGGGGAAGAGCCATTCCCAGCTTGAGTAGGGTAGACAGGATGCGACCCACCTTATCCCCCTTTTGTCTTTGTAGGTACAAAGCAGCCTCAACCTCATCCCAGATAATTCGTCCCTCTTGAAACTTTGCCCCTCAGAGCCTGAAGATGGTAAGGGAGGGCTTGTAAGGAGTGTCTTGCACTGGCTTCTGAGACTTCCTAGAGCTCGCAACCTTGCAATCAATGTTGTCTTCTCTCTCCTTTTCTCTCTGCCTCAGTGGAACTTAGGTCTGGCAAATGGTGCCCAGGTGCTGCTGTCCCATTGAGGCACATCCCTGATTCTAACTGGGATTGGGAGAAGGGACTTCTGTCTCTGACCTAGGGAAAGGTTCTGGTCCAGAAAGGAGCTAACCTAGTAATCAAAAGTCATAGGATATTACTTAGCAGCGATGTCCGCCCCCCCTTTCCCCTAGGTCCTAACAGGCATACATAAGAATATGTCAGTGTACGGGTTTTGAGGTACCTCCCCTAGTCATTCCGATTGTGCTATCATACTAGAGGTGGATGGAGGTGCTGAGACTCTCTGACATCATGTTATACCAGAACTCCTACAGTGTTCCATTCTTTGGGATCACTAGGGAGCCAGAAGAGTGTTCTTTGACTTTTATCAGGCTGCCCATTCTTTGTTCTTTCCTGTTGATAGGATTTTTGCAAACCCTTTATAAAGGCCAGGGACTAAGAGTCAAGGCTCTAGGGGAGGGTTCCAGTCCAAAGACCTTGAGTCAAGACTTCTGTTAGGCGAGGGAGGATTAAGAACAGCCTTCGGAGTCATCTGGCCTGTGTTTGAATCTTTCCTAAATCTGTGACCTTGGGCAAGTTTTCCTCATCAGGAAAATGGGGATAAGAGTGTACCTGTCTCAGAGTTTTTGTTGAGAATTATTTTATTTATTTATTTTTGGTTTTTTGAGACAGGGTTTCCCTGTGGTTTTGGAGGCTGTCCTGGAACTAGCTATTGTAGACCAGCCTGGTCTCGAACTCACAGAGATCCGCCTGCCTCTGCCTCCCGAGTGCTGGGATTAAAGGCGTGTGCCACCAATGCCCAGCTTTTGTTGAGAATTAAAGGAATTATATGTATTTATTTGTCATGTACATGGTTTAGGATAGCACCTAGAATGTAGACGTGCCAGGTAAAAGATACCTGTGTCCTTGATGTCTAAGCTCAGTAGTACTGGGTATCTCTGGAGGGCTTTTTTAAAAATATGGATTTTGAGCTGAGGAGATGGCTCAGTGTGTAAAAGCACTTGCCAAGTAAGCTTGATGACACCAACATAGAAAGCCCGATGGGGTGGTGCACATCTGTAGTGCTGACCCTCTTACTGTGAAACCTGTGCACCCAATGGCAGAAATAACAGGGGAGACCCTGCTATTTTTGGTAGAAAATAGGAGAAACCTACTCTATGGCATGAGCACCCCCCACCCAATAAATCTTAAAGAAAAACACAAAACAGGGTCTCAATCCTGCAGTAGCTATCATATTTCATTAGGACAGTAAACTGTTAGACTGGAAAATTTCTTTGTTGTAGGGGATATTGTATATAGAAGTTTTAGGAGCATTCTGACCTCTTATAAATAGATGTCAGTAGCATGCTCTAACCCATTTCCTCTCTATGTTGTAACAGTCAAAATCCACTTCAGACATCGTGACATGCTATCTGGGAGGCAAATTTGTCTCTGGTTGAAAACTACCATATAGGGGCTGGAGAGATGACTCAGGTCAAGAGCTTTGACTGCTCTTCCTAGAGGTCCTGAGTTCAATTCCCAGCAACCACATGTTGGCTTACAACCATTTATAATGAGATCTAGTGTCCTCTTCTGGTGTACAGGTACAGAACTCTACTGGTATACGGTGTACAGAACACTGTATACATAGTAAATAAATAAATCTTTTAAAAAAAAAAAGAAAGAAAGAAAACTACCATATAGGGTTTTATAGTTTCATTTGCTCAGTATTTTTTGTGGTGTTGAGACTTGAATGAAGAGCACACTCATACTAACAAAGAAATTTAAGGTCGAGTGAGTGATGTAATAAAAAACAATAAATAGGGAGATGGCTCAATTTGTAAAAGTGCTTGCTAGACAAGCCTGGAAACTTGAGCTCAATTCCCAGAATCCACAATGGAAGGAAAGAGCCAACTCCTAAAATCTGTCCGCTGACCTCCAAATGCTGTATTCATCTCATACAGATACAATAAAAATCAAAAACATAGGGGCTGGAGAGATGGCTCAGAGGTTAAGAGCACTGGCTGCTCTTCCAGAGGTCCTAAGTTCGATTCCCAGCAACCACGTGGTGGCTCACAACCATCCATTATGAAATCTGGTGCCCTCTTCTGGTGTGCAGATACACATGGAAGCAAAATGTTGTATACATAATAAATACATAAAATATTTTAAAAAATCAAAAACAAATAAGTAAACAACTAAAAAACATGCTTACAAGTACTTGTCTAATATTGAGAAGTATTGCATAGAGGTTGGGATGATGGTTCAATGGAGTGCTCATGTGCAAACCTAAGGACCTGCATTTGAGTCCCAAGACCCAGGTAGAAAAAAAGCTCAGTGCTACGGCATAGGTGAGGTGGAGACAGGTGGACCCCTGGGGCTTGCTGGCCAGCCAGCCCGGTCTAATCAGCTAGTCCCAGGCCAATGAAAGACTGTCTCAAAAAGCAAGATGGATGGTACCTAAAGAATGACATTTTAGGTTGACTTCTGATGTATACGTGTACACATACACACTCAAAACATGTGCTTATGCACGTGTACACGTGCATTCAAAGTGCTATGTGTCCCTGTTTTTTTTTTTTTTTTTTTTTTTTTTTTTTTTTTTCCCTTTTTTTTTTTTTTTTTTTTTTTTTTTTCTGTTTAGTATGCTTTCCCCTTCCTTTCATTGGTGGGGATTGAAATCAGGGTGTCTAGTGTCACTAAACTATACCCCCACCTCTTCCCCACCTATTTTTAGAACAAAAAAGACAGACTCTGTTGTGGCCTATGCTGGCCTCCAACTCCTGACCTCTGTCTCTTCAGTACCAAGATTTGTTTGTGCTCCCACACTGGCTTCCTCCGGCCCTTCCCAAAGCCTTTGACTTGTTTCTTCTTGGCCTCTCTGCCGTCTCTTAGCTAACCCTTTCCTCTTTCTCCTCTGCCCCTAGAGGCAGATATGACAGATTCTGGCAGTCCTCCCCCTGAGGATGCCCTACTTTCAGGTTCTCCCTGGAAGAAGAAGCTGAGGAGTAAGAATGAGAAAGACGAGATGAAAATGGAAGAGTTTCCGTGAGTGAGGCAATAAGACCCTGGGAGCAAGAAGGGCATTGGGAGATAAGCTGAGGAAGGCAGGACTTCTGGGTGGCTCTCGAAAGGCTAAAAAGGGGTGGAAGATGAGACTCAGTTGTACATACAGGTGACTCGTCCTGGAGGGAGATAGGCCTTCTAGACCATCCTTAGGAGTGGAGGTTGAAATACGGGATGTGGCTCAGACACCACCAGTTGTCTCTGTCCACTCTACTTCTCATTCCTCATCTGTAAAATAGGGCTAGTCATGCTACTTGAGAATCATTGAGTAGCTGGATAGTAAGTGCCTGATGTCTGTTGGATATTTGACATTTTGTTGGAAAGTGACTTAATCCTAAAGGAAAGTGTTTCAATTGTCTATTTTTGGATCATATAAATATAAAAACAATATTTGTTAGAACTACACATGTCTTCTAGTAAAGTGATGCTTCTGGAAAGTGTTTTCTCTTGATTCTCCTCTCTCAGGTTCCTGGAGGTCCCCAGCCCACAAAAGGAAGTGTGTGTTGGAATCTCTTCTTTGCTGCCATCCTGCTCTTCTCTTCTTTCTGTAGGGACCAGGACATCTCTCCTTTGCCCCAACCGTCACCAAGAAACAAAAGCAGAAAGCATACTGAGGCGCTACAGAAGTTGAGGTGCTGGGGCTGGGGAGCTCTGGCTGTGGCAGAGAAGGGCAGATTGAGAGGCTCCTGAGCCTCAGTTGTTCCAATGTCCTGTCTGTACCCAGGGAAGTAAACAAGCGCCTCCAAGATCTCCAGGCCTGCCTGAGCCCCAAGCAGCACCAGAGCCCAGCCCTTCAGAGCCTAGATGATGAGGTGGTCCTAGTGGAGGGGGCTGCCTTGCCACAGAGTCCGAGACCCTTCACCCTCAAGATCCGGTGCCGGGCTGATCTTGTCAGATTGCCTGTCTTGACGGTGAGTGCTTGAGCAATAGGGGCAGGATCAGTGTCTGCCTTTGGAGAGATGGCATTGACATGGTAGTGTACTGTCAGGAAGGGGTCCTTGTCCTTCCTGTCCTGCTCTCTGGGGCTCCCACCACTCTTCCCACCTTGGCTCTTGCTGTTCCCTTTGTCTACATTTTTCCTCACTCTTGTCTCTTTTTTGGCAAACTTTACCCATTTTTCAAGATTACTTAGGCCAGGTATGAAGGTTAGCACATATCTGTAATCTCAGCACTTGGGAAGTGTTAGAATTTGAAACCAGCATGGACTATACACCAAAATACAGGGTATCTTTATGAAGCTTTTTTTTTTGGGGGGGGGGGGGTTTTTTTTTTTTTTTTTTTTTTTTTGGTTTTTCATTCCAGACAGGGTTTTTCTGTGTAGCTTTGGAGTCTGTTCTGGAACTTGATCTGTAGACCAGGCTGGCCTCGAACTCAAAGAGATCTGCCTCCCTCTGGATCCCAAGTGTTGGGATTTTTTTTTTCTCTAGACAGGGTTTCTCTGTGGCTTTGGAGGCTGTCCTGGAACTAGCTCTTGTAGACCAGGCTCATCTCATACTCACAGAGAACTGCCTGCCTCGGCCTCCCGGGTGCTGGGATTAAAGGCGTGCTCCATCACTGCCTGGTAAAACTTTTTTTTTTTTAATTTAATTTTTTTTAAAAGAATTTTTTTTTTAAAGATTTATTTATAATGTATACAGTGTTCTGCCTGCATGTGTCCCTGCAGGCCAGAAGAGGGCACCAGACTACATTAAAGATGGTTGGGAACCACCATGTGGTTGCTGGGAATTGAACTCAGGACTTCTGGAAGAATCGGCAGTGCTCTTAACCCCTGAGCCATCTTTCCAGCGCCCTTTAATTTAATTTAATTTAATTTTTGTTTTGTTTTGTTTTTGTTTTTTGAGACAGGGTTTCTCTGTGTAGCTTTGAAACCTGTCCGGGAACTTGCTCGGTAGACCAGGCTGGCCTGGAACTCACAGAGATCCACCTGCCTCTGCCTCCCAGAGTGCTGGGATTAAAGGCGTGCGCTACCAATGCCTGGCTTAACTTAATTTTTTTAAGATTTATTTTTTAATTATGTCTAGGTGTTGCTGGGTGGTGGTTGGCACACGCCTTTAATCTCAGCACAGGCAGGAGAATCTTGAGTTCTAGGCTAGCCTGGTCTACAGAGCAAGTTCCAGGACAGCCAGGGCTACACAAAGACACCTTGTCTCAGAAAACAAACAAACATTATGTCTAACTTAGTGTCTGCATTCGGGTATGTGCACATGAGTGCAGTACCTGTGGAAGTAGAGGCACTGAATTTCTAGGAGCTAGAGTTACAGACAGTTGTGAGCTGCCTGATATGGATGGGTGCTGGTAACCAAAATCAAGACCTCTGGAGGAGCAGCAAGTGCTATTAACCACTGAGCCACCAGGCCCTGGAGCTCTTTTTTAAGAGTCCTCTAGGCTGCCTGTCTCCTTCCAGGGCCCCATGCTTCCCTTCTGTGCTTCTACTGCCTTGGACAGAGCAAGTAGCACACAATAATCCTGAGCTCACCCAGCTTCCAGGCAAAGACTGTTATTTGTGTAGGATGATAGTTCAAGAGTGCTAGCAGAAATGAGCCCTTATGAGCACTGACCATGTGTGTACAAGCAGCTAAGCCCAGGCTTGCAAACTGGGCAGCCTATGTCCTTATCAGCGCTGCTTTTTGGCTCCATAGGGTGCTTCTGAATAGACAAGTGGTTGGAGTTGTGTCTTAGTGATAGAGAACTTGGCATAGCTTATGTAAGGCCCTGAGTTCCATCTCTAGCACTGAGAAAAAAGAGTGAGTTTGTACCAAACTTTGTAATGGGTGATTTTCTCAAGGTCCCAGATTTCTGACTTTAAGAAAAAAAGGAAAAAAATGGTAGTAGTGCCGGGAGTATATATGAGGTCCTACCCCTTCACTTTTTTTTTTTTTTTTTTTTTTTAATCTCCTAATCCATAAATCCATGGCTACTGCATCCCTTCCTTCCCTCCATCTCTCCTTCTTTCTTCTCTCCCTCCCTTCTTACATTCCTTTCTCCCTCCCCCCTCCCTCCCTCCTTCCTTCCTTCCTTCCTTCCTTCCTTCCTTCCTTCCCCCTCACTCCCCCCCCCTTTCTTTTTTTTGTTGTGTTAAGGATATGTTCTTGTGGGTATGTGCATGTGGGTTGTGTGCATGACTGTGTATACATAAGTTTGTGGTGGCCAGACAATGATGTCTGGTGTCTTCCTAAATTGCTTTCCACCTTGTTTTTTAAGATGGCCTCTTCCGGGGATGGAAAGATGGCTCAGATGTTAAGAGCATTGGCTGCTCTTTTAGAGGTCCTGAGTTCAATTCCTAGCAACCACATGGTGGCTCACAACCATCTGTAATGAAATCTGGTGCCCTCTTCTGGCCTTCAGGCATACGTGGAGGCAGAATGCTGTATACATAATAAATAAATACATCTTTTAAAAAAAAAAGAAAAAAAAAGAAAAGATGGCCTCTTCCTAAACCCGAAGCTCATTGATGCATCCAGGCTGGCCAGCCAATGAGCTTGAGGGATCCTCTTATTTCCACCTCCTCAGCACTAGGGTTGCAGGTACTACCTGTCATTCCTAGCTTTTCATGTAGTGCTGGATATCCAAAGTCAGGGCTTCTTGCTTGCATTCCAGGCACTTTGCTTACTGAACCACCTCCTTAGCCCGAGCTATTTAATTTCTCTGTGCTATTTGCATAGACCACTAAGTGACACTATTTAATTTTGTACTTGCCAGGTAAATATGGTGAATCTCACAACTGAAGAGTTCAGCAAGTGGCCCAGGCCAGAAACTTGTTTTTTTGGGTGGTGGCTCAGGGCTGGGGTGTGGAATTTCAAGGCTGGAAGATTCTTTTGTCTTCTTCCTAGTCGGAACCCCTTCAGAATGTGGTGGATTACATGGCCAATCATCTTGGGGTGTCCCCAAGCAGGATTCTTTTACTCTCTGGAGAGACGGAACTGTCGCCCACTGCCACCCTTAGGACCTTAAAGCTTGGAGTGGCTGACATCATTGGTGAGTGGAAGGCAAGGAAGAGGGGTCTTGAGGCAGCCTTTGTTGTGAGTGGGGGTTGGGGATCTGAAGAAGTTCCAGAGACGGGTTCTGCTGCCAGTCCTCCACTTCAGCTTGGCATCTCAATCTTGCTTTCCATAGATTGTGTGGTGTTGACAAGTTCTTCAGAGGCCACAGAGACAACCCAGAAGCTCCGACTCCGGGTGCAGGGGAAGGAGAAACACCAGATGTTGGAGATCTCGCTATCTCCTGTAAGTAGAAGTGCTGCCCATACCACTCACCTTTCCTTTTTAGTCTCCTGTCATTTGGTCAGTTGGCAGGGCATGGGTTCCTCCTAACCCTGACTTGCTTGCTGCAGATGCCCTTCTGTTTCTGTGTGCCTACCCAGCCTAGTTCATGGAGAGAGAGAATATTGTTCAAGTTCTGTACTAGTTACTGTTCTGTTGCTATGATACACCACCATGACCAAGGCAACTTACAAAGGGAAGGGTTTTGGGGGAGGGTATTGGTTCCAGAGGTTAGAGTCTGTGATGGCTGAGTGGAGGTATCCTGCAAGGCTACCAAGAACTCCCATTGCTGATCACAATCAGGAAACACCAAAAGGTCATGATTTTTTGAACTCTCAAAGCTGTCTTCCAATGACTTGCTTCCTCCAGCAAGGCCACACCTCCTAAGCTTCCCCAAACAGTGCTACCAACTGTGGATCAAGTATTCAAATGTCAGAGCTTATGGGACCATTCTCATTCAAATCATAGCTTCCTTTCCACTTCTACTTGCAACCATGTGCTCCTGTCTTAGGGTTTGCTGTGAAGAGACACCATGACCACAGCAACTCTTACATTTCATTGGGACTGGCTTGCAGCTTCAGAGTTTTAGTTCATTGTTATGGTGGGAAGCATGATGGCATGCAGGCAAGTGTGGTGCTGGAGAGGAAGCTGAGAGTTCTATATCCAGACTGGCAGGCAGCAGGAAGAGAGACTTGACTGTGGGTCTGGCATGAGCTTCTGAAAATCTTAAAGTCCACCTCCAGGGACACACTTCCTCCAACAAGGCCACACCTACTCCAATAAAGCCATACATCCCAATCATTTCAAATAGTGCCACTCCCTATGAGCCTATGGAGGCCATTTTCATGCAGACCACCACAGTTCTCCATCCATATCCTAACTTCTTCCCATTAAATGGAAAGGACCCTTGTAAAGTATCAAGGATATACATTAATAATGGCTTTTATTGTCTCTCCTTCATTTCACTGAGGAGGCAGATAGATCTGTTTCTGTTTTTCCCCCTCCTTTTTTCTCTTTCTCTCCTCTCTTCCCTTCTCTTACTTCCTTGCCTTCCCCAGTGAACGTTCCACATTAAGAAAAATGGCTTTTATTTATTTGGAGGAGCTGGGGATTAAATCCGTACCTTATGCATGCTAAACTGTTGTTTTGTCACTGAGCTGTGACCACATCCCACAGCTACACTTCTTACTTTTTAGTTTGGTTTTTTTTTCTTCTTTGTGTTTGTGTATTTGTGTTGGTGCTTGTGCCACAGTGCATGTATGAAGGTCCACAGAGAGCCTGTGGGAGGTGGTTCTACTGTGTGGGGTTCTGGGAATTGAACTATGTCATCAGGCTTGGCAGCAAGCCTCTTGACCTGTGAACCATCTCTTTGGCTCACTTTAAAATAGTAGTTCTCAACCTGTGGGTCATGACTCCTCTGGGGATTGTTAACTCTTTCACAGGGGTTTCCTAAGACCATCAGAAAACATGGATATTTACATTATACTTCAAAACAATAGCAAAATTAAAGTTATGAAGTAATAATGAAAATTTTATGGTTGGGGGTCAGCACAACATGAAACTGTATTAAAGGGTCAAAGCTTGCCGGGTGGTGGCACATGCCTTTAATCCCAGCACTTGGGAGGCAGAGGCAGGCCGATCTCTGTGAGTATGAGATGAGCTTGGTCTACAAGAGCTATTCCAGGAAAGCCAAAGAGAAAGCCACAGAGAAACTTTGGGAAAATTGAGAACCATTGTTTTAAAACTTGCTACTTTTTTTCTTGTTTCATTTTTGTATAATCACATATTATATGTAACTCTTATTATAGTTTATTGTTAAAATTCTTCTGATTTACCAGGTGTGGTGCACTCCTTTAATCTCAGCAACTCAAGAGGCAGAGGCAGGCAGATCTCTGAGTTTGAGGCCATCCTGGTCCAGGCCAGCCAATAGTACATAGTGAAACGCTGTTTCAAAGAAAAAAATCCAAAAACAACAAAAAACTAATTTTACTTTTTAAAATTTCCTACTGTACCTATTTAAAATTGTGTGTATATAGTGTGTGTCTATATGTTTGCATATGCCATGTATGCAGGTCAGAGGACAACTGGAGGGGATCAGTTTTCTGCTTCACTCAGCATGTGAGTTGTAGGGATTGGTTTAGGTCCTCATGCTGGCAGCCAAGTGCCTTTACCTGCTGAGCTTTCTCACTGCCCCATAGTACCTAAAGTATCATAGATGTGTTATTATGCATGGTGCCTATGGGTTTGGTACTAGTGTTGACTTGAGGCACCAGCTAAGTGTCTTGGAATGTATCTCCCCTTGGAACAAACAAGGGATGACTCTACTGAAAGCTAGTGGGCTTAGAGCAGCAGAATTTGGTTCTTACTGTTGTGTAGACTGAGACTCCACACTGAATCTTCCTTTTTTGGTAGTTTCTGGTGGCTGCCAGAGTTCCTTGGTGTACTTCTGGTGTCTGTGTTTTCTCCTGTGAAGATCTAAGTCGTGTTGGATTAGCTATCTGAATGAGGTGTGACCACATCTTACCTTGATTATATTTGCAGAGGCCCTAAATCCAGTAAGGCCACATTTACATGTACCAGGTCAGAACGAGAAGGTGTCTTTGAGGCACACCCATAACACTTTTCTAAGTTGTACAAACAACTTCCTTTAGAATTTGTGTTCACTTTATTTGTTTCTGTTTCAGAAGGGTGTGACTGAGGCTTAGAGACCCTGTTTATCCCAAAGTCAGCATTCTGTAGTCTTGTCCTCTGTGATCCCCTCTACAATTCCTGAGGAACCTGTGACTAGTTTCCAGAGAGGAGCCTGCCATCCCCTTCAGGGTTCTTACTCTGTTGATATGCCCTCATCTTTCTTGTCCCATGTTCTTTTTTGTTTGTTTTGTTAATTTATTTTTAGATAGGGTCTTACTATGTAACCTAGGGTGGCCTGAAGCTCACTGTGTAGCCCAGGTTGGCTTGGGACTCATCTTATAGCCCAAGTTGGCCTGAAACTTGTGATCTGTTTACCCCTATCCTGTAAGTCCTGTCATTTCAGGCATATAATGCATGTTTGGCTAAAAGTTACTTTTTGGGGTGGGGGGTTTGGAGAATGAACTTAGCACATTGAACTTTAAAGTGTGTGTTTAACCAGTGCACTGCACTCCTGGCCTCCGAACGTGTGTGCTTGATCATTCCTGGCTGTGGGGATATATTATTTATGATTTATTAAAGCTTGCCTGAGGATTCAGAAAGCAAAGTCAGCCTCAAGCTATAGAGATCAGGCAGTGGTGGTACACACTTTTAATCCCAGGACTCAGAAGACAAAAGCAGATGGAGTTCTCTAAATTCAAGGCCACTCAGAACTACACAAGATTAAATCAGTCTAAAAGAATAATAGAGCTCATGCTCTTAATCCTAGCCCTACAGGGGTATAAAAGATAGGAACAGGGTCTTCAGTAGTCAGTCTCAGGATTCTCTAGTCACGTTGAGGAGAGCATAGCAGTCTGAGTGAATCTGAGGAGAAGTTTGAGGATCGCTCCTTTGGTCTGAGCTGAGGTACAGGTAAAAGCTAGTGGCCATCTGCTTTGCTTCTCTAATCTTCAATTCAAAGTTTAGACCCCAATATTAGTCTCTGGGTCTTTTATTTATTGTGCTACACCTGGCCTCTCTCCCATGTTTTCTTCCTGCTCTTGTAGGATTTCTCTGGCCTGCCCTTCATAATCTTTTAGAGCAGGCTGGCCTCGAGCTCACAGAGATCCACTGCCTCTGCCTCCCTGCCTCTGCCTTCCAAGTGCTGGGATTAAAGGTGTGTGCCACAATCGCCTTTCCGATACCTTTTATATTCTTACATCTGTTGTTTGTGTTTCTATGCAGGATTCTCCTCTTAAGGTCCTTATGTCACATTACGAGGAGGCCATGGGACTCTCCGGACACAAGCTCTCCTTTTTCTTTGATGGAACAAAACTTTCGGGCAAGGAGCTGCCAGCTGATTTGGGCATGGAAACTGGGGATCTCATTGAAGTTTGGGGCTGAAGCTTCCTCCTCCTGTTTGGATGCAGAGCCAAGACTTGGGGACAACAGCTCCCACTTATTACTATTTTTTTGCCCCATAAGGGCTAACAAACTGAATTAGAACTCGTTTATTTATTTATTTCCGGTACTGGGGATTGAACTCTGGACTATGCACATGCTAAGAATGTATGAAGTTGTGGTAAAACCAAGGCAAGGTGTGACCTTTGGCCTGTCTCTTGTTGACTGTAGTCTCAAACAGTTGACTGATTGGTAGTTTTGTGGCTGTGGCTGCCCTGGGTGGCCTGTGGCTGTGTGTGGCACCTCTGGGGCACAGAGAAGGGGTATTGGATTCCCTACCATTTCACATTCACGAGTGCGCTTCATAAAACATCTGTCTGAAACTGCATATATTGGGTTTGTTGAACTAAATGAGCATTGCATTTGGGTGCCCCGGCTTGGGATTTATGCCACATTGGGGACCAACAGTGATCTTAATTCTCATTTGGGGCTGAGAATGCAGGTACATTCCCTGGTGGGGATATTCAGTTGCAGGAATAAAACAAGTGATAACATATATGATGCTGATGCTGATGCTGAGGACTAGGTAGACAAGTGAGTAGTTTTTAAAGGCTAACAATAGTGGTGTCTTCAGCCCTAGGCATCCACTCTTCTAGAACTTAGCAATGTCTGGTACACACTTCCTGGCATGTACATCTAGCCACATCTGAGCACATGCAGCTGTTAACTTTGAGGTCTACTTTAGTTTTTGGTCCTCCTTCCCTTGTACTTCCTCTCCTGTTAGCACCCACTTAGTATATTTGCATCTTTGAATATGAATGTCTTTATAAGATAAATTTCTGAATGTGTGTGATTTTAGTGTATATACACGGTATTGTGCAATAGACATTCTGTCTTCACTCAGTATGAGTGACAATCTAGCCATGTTAGCGCCTTCTAGATCTGTTGTTGCTCTGATCTACTGTGGGTGCCCCATAGTGGCATTCAATGATTTTACTCACACATTGCCTTAAGTGGGAGGATGCCTGAGTCTCCAGCTGCCTGGAACTATATTCCAGGCCACAGCAAACATCCTTTTATGTGTCTCCTTCTGGGCCAGGGTAGGTAGTTGTCTGGCATACTTGCCCAGGATGGAACTGTGGGTTATACAGGTTCATTTTTCTGGTTTGCCCAGAGTTTTCTTCAGAATGAGGACTGGCCTTTCTTGGAGCTTCTCTTTCCTTGTCTTTACCAGTATTTGGTATTGCTGTACTTTCTGATTTTGCCGGTCCATTGTGTATAAAGATATGCAGATATCTTAAAATCCTTTATCATCACCATTTCTTATCCATGTCCGCCTTCCGGTTGTCTTTGTAGCTGCTTGCTTTCTTGTGGGGCTTCCTTTTGTGTGTTTCTTTCCTTTGAGGAGTTGCTTATGTTCTGGGCGATTGCAAATAACCTTTAGGGATTTTCACCAAACAGACATTCTTAATTTTAATGTAGACAGTTGGCTTTTGTTAGAAAGTTTGTTGCTTTTTTATTTTTTTAAGGGAAAATGAGAAAAGAACTTCCAGTGTAGGAGGGTCTCTATCGGGGATATCTCAGGATTGATACTTTTGGATTTCTAAACTAGTTAAGAAACTTTTGTTTTCTTCTATTAGCTCGCTAGTTTTTTGTTGTTGTTGTTTTTATCTCTCTCATATTGAGACCATTAAATGACAATGGAGTTCTAACCGTCTACCATGGTATGGGTACTGACTGTTCTGAGCTCTCAGCTCTGGTTCTCACTGGTTGCAGCTGGGCTGCACTGGTTCTTGACTATTGTGTGTCACTTCTAAACCATCTGAAATGCACCTTTGTGTGGGAGAGCAAGTTTTATTTTGTTTTTAATTATAATGAGCCAGTTTTCTAAGCTTTGTCTACTAAAAAAAAAAAAAAAAAAAAAAAAAAGACTACTAATATGTAGTCTGACTTTCACAAAAGTATGTCAACTTCTTAAACTTTTTTGTGTGTGTGAGAATGTTGTTCTTTTGGATTTGTAACATTTAAATACTCCATGACATGGTGTAGCTTCCAGGTTTCTCAGCTCTTGTATGATGATTAATGAATCTGAACACATTACTATTATGTATTCAATCTCTACTAATAAAGGGAGATGCCTTTAACTTAGAAACACTGATGCTTTCTGTCTTTGTGGCTCTCATGTGATCCCATTTGAAGTTCTGTGACAAGAGACCATTAGTTTTTCCCAAACACCCAATCTTCTTTGTCCTTGATTAATAAAATCCATGGCTTTTTTGTTTTTGTTTTTGTTTTTTTTTCGAGACAGGGTTTCTCCTGTGGCTTTGGAGGCTGTCCTGGAACTAGCTCTTGAAGACCAGGCTGGTCTGGAACTCACAGAGATCCACTTGCCTCTCCCTCCCAAGTGCTGGGATTAAAGGCGTGAGCCACCAACTCCCAGCATAAAATCCATGGCTTTTAACGCAGTGCAGAGACACTCCAAATGAAGACACTGTGTTACAGCTCTGAAGGGAAAGGTATCCTGGCAGTCAGGAGCCAAGGAATACCATAAAGTCACACTGGTGGCCCAACAAACCTCACATAAGACATTTATTGGGAGGGAAGAACCCAGGAGGATGGCTGCCTCTGCTGGGGTGAGAAGCCCCAAGAAAGCTGAGCAGAAGACAGGGTTTGTATAGGATTTCTTGGGGGAGGGGGGGTGGTGATTCCTAGGATAGAGCTTTTCAAGGTAGGGTTTCCTGGGATTTCAAGTTGTGAGCTTGGGCTTTTTACTGTGTATGGCAGAGCCTGGGGCTGGCCTTTAGGTCGGTCAGAGTGTTCTGTGGATGGGACGTGGCAGTTGGGGGTTTGCTCTGAGCCACCTGTTGGAGACCTGGATGAACTTAGATGAAAACTGAGTTAAATAGCTAGGAAAGTAGTCAGCCCCAAAAATCAAGTGGTGATGCCAGCAGTCATACTCAGGACTGAGAAAGGGTAGGACCTGAACTCTCCTTTGTCATGACATGCCGATATTAAACCATGTGGTAGGAATTGACAAGCATTCTTTGCCAGGTCCCACTCTTAATTTTGGAAAAAGGACCATCACAGCCTACCCAGCAAATAGATAGTCAGTGGTATACTTGAGTGCCGCAGAAAATTGAGGCATTGTGGATGCTTGGGCATAGGCACTGGGTGGCAGTATAAGGACTAAGGTATTATTGCAGTCTATGCAATCCAAGTATGTCCAGTGTGCCCACAGAACATGTTCCTGAGGAGTTAAAGCAATCTGTGATACCTGAGAGAGAGACAGACAGAGACAGAGAGAGGTGGGAGAGGTAGGAGATGGTAGTGATACTTGTCTTAGAGCAACTGAGAGGTGAGATGAGATTCTAATAAGGCAATGGGTGAGGCCACAAATGATGGACATGAGTTTGACCCAGGAGGGGCACACAGCCAGCATTCTTCAAGGCATCCAGGCAGAGTGTTACAAAATTTGTTTACAATATACAAAAGCCCAATCCAATGTAAAATATAACTAGTAGTTGCTTCTTAAAAGTAGATTCAATAATTTCCTTTTTATATTATCTATCATATCTGTATCCCCCTATTTTCTTCTCAAAACAAGAACTCTGAATCTAATCTCCTTTGTTCACCTTTTTTTTTATGACCATTACCAATAACAACTTGTAACCAACCACCCTAAATGATAACAACTCTTGGGAACGTGGGTGTCATATTCTTAAACTTACTTCTTGCTGTCGGGGGGTGATGGCATCTTTAGGGGATCTTGAAAAGAAAATTTTGGGTTAATTGTCAAGTCTTGGGAGAGGTAGCTGTATCATTTGTTGTCCAGTCTTTGCATAATGGGAAAATTCAGGGCTTGTCTCAAGTCCAGGCTAGAGTAGTCTGTGAGGCTGGATCATCTCAGTTAGCCACCTTGAAATTGTTCTGAGCAATTTGTAGTCCAAAGCCAATCTTTAGGTGGTGTTTTTCAGCTTAGTGGTGTTATCATAGCCCTGGTGGAATTGTCACTGTGGGGTTCCCTCATCTTTTCTTTGGAGACTTCAGAGATTGCATTAGGTCTGATTATTCCTTTTCTTGGTAATGTTTTTCAGGTAATTCTCCCTTTTTCTTTGGATGTTTATTTGTCCAAAGATCTTTAAATTCTAAAAGATAGTTGTTTTTATTTTCCTGGAAAGACAAAAGCACAACCCTTTCCCAATCCTAATTTTGGGGAGTTCTCTTTTGGCAAGTTATATCAGATCAAATGAAAACTTTTTTTTTCTAGACAGGATTTCTTTGTCTGTGTAGCTCAGGAGGCTGTCCTGGCACTTACGCTATAGACCGGCTGGCCTCAAACTCAAGGAGATCCTCCTGCCTCTGCCTCCCAAGTGCTGGGATCAAAGATGTGCGCCACTACTGCTTGGCTAAGTTTTGAGGGTGTTACAGCAACTGTCCTTGACACACTGTGGGGCTTGTTAGGGTCAGCAAAAGTCCCATAAAAGACCACTAGTCACCTGTGCAGTCAGCAAGATCGTTTATTAATTCCAACATGTTGGGGTGGTACATGGTGATGACTCGAGAGGCCTACGTGCCCCTCTTTTATTTATTTATTTATTTATTTATTTATTTATTTATTTATTTATTTATTTATTTATTTATTTATTTATTTATTTATTTATTTATTTATTTATTTATTTATTTATTTATTTATTTATTTATTTATTTATTTATTTATTGGTTTTTCGAGACTGGGTTTCTCTGTGTAGCTTTGGAGCCTATCCTGGCACACTATGGAGCCTGGGCTGGCCTGGAACTCACAGAGATCCACCTGCCTCTGCCTCCCGAGTGCTGGGATTAAAGGCGTGCGCCACCAACACCTGGCTATGTGCCCCTCTTTTAAATTGAGTTAGGGGAATTCCGGGGAGGAAAAATTAGTCTGGGGACTAATTGGTGACTTTAAACAGTTTATGGGTTGCTGTAGTATTGGTTGGCAGCTCAGTGGTTAGGGACTTTTCAGCTCTGCAGGGTGGGAAACACTATCTTTAGTTTTCTTAAGCTTTCCCAAGAATTGCTTGCTTGGCTCCAGCTGGTTCCAGTAAAAAACTAAGGTCTGGTCCCTGGCAGGGACTATTAGGAATCTGTCATAGCTCTGGTCTGGCTCCTTGATCCTCTCAGGGCTGACTCAGGCCTTGTTCATGCTCTCTCCCTCGTCCCTAAATGTAATTTGTTGAGAAATGGCCCTTTGTTGGGAGAGACACCTGTTTGCCCCTCTCAGAGAACTGAAACCTAAATTTAGTTGTGAAAATGGGAAAGTTTAAACCCTTTAGTCTCATCCTTAGGTAAGAGATGGAGTCACAAAAGCCATGAGGGAGGGCCTAGAGGAACTGTGGGGTTACAGACAGCTCACAGGGAAGGCGAGAAAAAACGGGCAGGGAGAGAGGCACAACTACCCTGTTGGGCCTAAGGAAATTGCAGGATTGCAGCTCCAATGTTGGGGTGATGGAGTCAGGTGAAGAGGGTCAGTTATAGCCTTAAAGACTATGAATGGGGTACCTCTTCCTCCAAGAGTACTAGAGGGTATATCACCTTGGACTCAGGGAACCATTTACACTGACCAAAAGGGTAATTTACCTAATTGCTGCTGGTGCTGATTGGTCAGTGAGCTGGAAGGTGAGTCTGTTGTGGGTGAACTGGAGAAGGATGGTCCCAGTGCAGCTTAGACATCAAGGGGAAACACAGGTGCCAGGAGAGACTATGAGTCATGACATCAATGTAAGTGTACAGCTCTGAGGCGAAAGGTATCCTGGCAGTTGGGAGCCAAGTAATACCACAAAGTCACACTGCACAACAAACCCCACACAAGGAATTGATTGGGAAGGAAAATCCAAGAGGATGGTTGCTTCTGCTCAGGTGAGAAGCAGCAGAGAACTGAACAGAAGACAGGGCTCATATAGGATTTCTTGGGATGGGGGTGGAATTTTTCAGGGTAGGATTTGGTGGGATTTTCAAGTCCTAAGCTTGGGCTTTTTACTCTGTAGGACAGGGGCTGGATCTGGCCATTAGGGCAGTTAGAGTGTTCTGTTGGTGGAACCTGGTGGTTGGAAGTCCTTGGGGGAGGAGCCTGGCCACTTATGTGCCTCAAGGGGCTTACAGACACTATAATCAGTCCTTTGGAGTCTAGGAAGCTTCCATAGACTCAACCAACTGTGGATCAAATTTATTAGGGAAACTTGGGCATGAGATTATCTTGTAATCTCAGCACTTGAGAGACAGGAGGTTTGTGAATTTGAGGCTGCCTGGGATATACACCAAGACCCTACCTAATTTCTTATGTATGGGGAAATATTTATGCCAGAACTCATATAGAATCTTCTTCTTCACTATTCCCCAAAAGACATGGTGTAACTGTGTCAGGTACTAGGACCCTAGCTAGGTGTAATTCAGCCTCCTGGGATGGAAGTGGAAAGGGCTGTCCTTCCAGGGGCATCTGTAGTAGCAGTGTGCTTGCTTCCTTCCTACCAACTGGAGGTAGAGTGTTGTCCTCTGAACACAGACTTTTAGAACAGGAACTCAGTGGGAGGACAGTGAGACAGAGCAGCTCTGCATTGGTCTCCATGCCATACCTTAGGATTCCCACAGCACCGAGGTAACTGTCTGCCTGAAAACATTTACTTAGGAATTTCTGTCACTCTTAGCAGCCCAAGATGTAGCTATTGCAAACACAACAGTTTAAGATGTAGCTATTGTAAACAGCATTATAGTGGTTCTTGGACAATAGGCTAGTTTCCACAGATGTCTAGTTGCAGAAATGGAGGTGTGTAGGGAGCTCGAGAGACTGTCCAGTGGTTAAGAACACTTGTAGCTCTTGCAGAGGACTCAGTTTCAGTTTCTGGCACCCTCATGGTGGCTTTCAACCACCAGTTCCAAAGATTCCACACCCTCTTCAGACTTCTGAGAGCATCAGGAACACACGAACACACACACACACACACACACACACACACACACACACAAAACACACTCATAAAAGAAAATGGAGGGTGGGGCTTGCACTGGAGTGTGTGGTCTGGACCGGAAGCTCTGAGGAGGAGCCTGGGATGCTTATCTCTGATGAGCATTCAGGGGATGCAATTCTGCTGACCACCCTTGGCAGTGAGATACTTACTCAATGTACATTTGCCTTGGTACCCAATCCTTAAATACCAGAAGTTAGAAATCTTTGAGAAGACCCCATACCTCTCTTGACAGAGTTTCTCTGTGTAACAGTCCTGGCTGTCCTGGCTTCTGCTTTGTAGAGCAGGCTGGCCTCGAACTCACAGAGATCCCTCTGCCTCTGGCTCTGAGTGCTGGGATTAAAGGCGTGTGGCACCAACACCCAGCCATGGCCACATCCGTTTTGTTCCACCTTAGCATGAAACAAGGCTATTCCTTCCTCTACTTCTATTTGATTATCTGTTTCTTGCTTTCCCATTGGTCTGTAAGTGCTCAGCAAACAATATCTTATTCTTTTCAACAATGTCTAGCCTGGTGTTCATGATCTCACACACAGGTGTTTCCTCCTAAAAGTTTATTGAAGGAATAAGTTTCATATCTCAGAGAAACCCACTGCCACCCATCTCAGTGAATGAGCCAGAAACAATGTGTTACTCCTGCTTTCTTTTTGTGCTGAGAGAGGGAACCAGGCCCCAACTCAGGTTGGCCAGGTGCTCTACCACTGGCTTCATGTTTTGTGATGCTTGGGATGAAACCTGGGGTCTTCAGCATGCTTTACCATTGAGGTGCTCCACTAGCCCTGCCAGCTTCACCCTTTTTTTGGGGGGGGGGGTTCAAGACAGGGTTTCTCTGTGGCTTTGGAAGCTGTCCTGGGACTAGCTCTTGTAGCCCAGGCTGGTCTGGAACTCATAGAGATCCGCCTGCCTTTGCCTCCCGAGTGCTGGGATTAAAGGCGTGCACCACCAACGCCCAGCTTTTTTCTCTCTTCTTTAGCACCATCATCATCTAGTCCAGGCTGGCTTATGACTCTCAATATAGTGCAGTCCTCAAACTTTTTTATTTTTAACTTTTTTTGAGACTGGGTCTTACGTACCCAAATCTCACCTTGAACTTATTATTGCTATATATCCAGGACCATTTTGAACTTCCAATCCTCCCTCTGCCTCCTGCCACTGGCCTGGTTTATGAGATGCTGGAGAATTGAACTCAGGGTCTTAGCCATGCTAGGCAAATAAGATATCAACTGAACTACATCTCCAGTTCTGGAAGTGAGATTGAAAAGCATTCTCATGGGATTATAATTTTTATTCAGAATGCGTGTATATTAAGAAAAAGAAGCCATCTGGGGTGGTGGCACACACCTTTAATCCCAGCACTAGAGAGGCAAAGGACAGTCAGGGCTACTTAGAGAAACCTCATAAGAAAAAATAAATAGCCCAGTGGTGGTGGCGCATGCCTTTAATCCCAGCACTTGGGAGGCAGAGGCAGGTGGATCTCTGTGAGTTCGAGACCAGCCTGGTCTACAAGAGCTAGTTCCAGGACAGCCTCCAAAGCCACAGAGAACCCTGTGTCGAAAAACCAAAATTAAATAAATAAATAAATAAATAAATAAATAAATAAGCAAAACTAAAACCAAGCCAAAGCCTCTGCCTCGGGTGCTGTGATTAAACGCAATACCCAGTGGTATTGGCTTTTGTTTTCCTGTTTTTTTGTTTGTTTGTTTGTTTTTTTTGAGACAAGGTTTCTCTGTGTAGCTCTGTCTGCCTGGGACCTTGTTTTGTAGACCAGGCTGGCCTCGAATTCTGAGACCCCCCCTGCTTCTGTCACCCAAGTACTGGAATTAAAGAATATGTCATCACTGCCTGGCTTTCCTGTTGGAAAAAAAAAAAAACAGAAAACCGCTGCAGTTTTTTGGTTCTGAGCCCCTGCCTATCCTACAGGAGAGGCACCAGAGGGCGCGAGGACTCCAGTCTTGGTTGCTGGAGGAAAACTCTTCGTGGCCAGAGCTGGTGCTTCTTCTTCCTTCTAGTCTATAGGAATCTTTTGTTTGAGACAGAGACTCATTCTGTAGCCTTGGCTGTCCTGGAACTCGCTATGTATACCAGGCTGGCCTTGAAGTTTCAAAGATCCGCTTGCCTTTGCCTCCTGGGATTAAAGGCATGCGCCACCACGCCCGACTCTATAGAATCTAAGTGTCCACAGTCAAAGTTCATGGTTGGGAAATTAAAGGGGGCAGCTGCTCCCGGTTATTCATCCAACAATTACTGAGCAATGAAGCCATCAGCTAGTCACCGAAGAAAGCGGGAACTTCTCACTAGCATCTGTAGAGATGTGTTATTTCCAACCCTCTGTGATCCACTATCTTGTGTGACCACAAGAAATCAGATAAATGGGCATTCCATCTAAGGCGCCCGACTTTGCCAACTTGCGAGGCCCCCTAGGGACTGCTGGTGAAAGTGGGACCAAGCGTCGAGCTGCTGTGGTGCTTAGCTGTGTGCAGGAGCCCAAGAAGCCTTGGAGGCTTCCGTAGTCGGTGGCAGGTCACGTGCCCAATCTTTGCACCGGGTGACTTTCTCCGGTCGGGCTCCGGTATCACATGACCTGCTTTGGGGCAACATGGCGGCGGCCGTGGTGCAGCGCCGGGACTGAGCGACAGCGAGTGTGGCGCATTCCTTCCCGGGGTGAGAAGAACATCAGCGACTGGGTCCTCGTCTTTCTGTTCCTGTCCCCAACGTCACCTGCATCTCACGCGTCCTCTCTGTCGGAACCAGAGGGAATGACGAAGCCCAGGGTTTTTCCCAGTGGTGCTCTGTGCATCGGAGCACGCTCCTAGCCGGCGGTGGGAAACTCCTCGCAGTCCTTTCGCTAACCTCTTTTCGTCGGAGGTGGGACCGGAGCGTGGGCGGTTGCGTTCTTCTGGGACCATGGCTGGCTCCGACACGCCGATGACCCAGATGACGGACCAGCGTCTGGCCACCCGGGATTGTCAGGGCCCCTGGGGAATCCCAAGTCCGGGGAGCACGAGATCCCGGACCGCGAGGGTCTGCAGCGCATCACTGGTTTGTCCCAGGGCCATTCGACCCTCATAGTGGCGGTGCTGTGTTACATCAACCTCCTGAACTACATGGACCGCTTCACCGTGGCTGGTAGGCACTGCCATTCGGAAGAAGGGACATGGGCAAGGGAGCAATTCTCCAGGTTGGGGCCTCCTCTTCGTGCTCATCCCGAGTTTTTTCTTTCCAGGCGTTCTTCCAGACATCGAGCAGTTCTTCAGCATCGGAGATAGTAGCTCTGGCCTCATTCAGACTGGTGAGTGAAGGTTCTGATCACACAGCCATGCGCCTTTTGCTGCTGCAACTGGGCCTACATACATGCAGGTTTGCCTGGAGAGGGCTTGTTGGCCAGAGCTCTCAGAGGTTGGTTTTGACTGCTCTAGGGGTGTCCAATTGAGCTGGGACCTCACCCTTACAGAGGGAGCCAGCTACTTACTTACTATGTGATGGTAGGCAACACACTCACCCTCTCTAAGCCTCATTTTTCCAGTCTGTAGAATGAAGCTAGTAACAAAATGGACTAATTCTTTGGACTGGCATGAGGACTAAGAAATGCACTGTGTGGCAGGTACTAGGCACCAGCAAATAATAGCAAGAGTACTTGGAGCTGCTTGGGGGGTGGGAGTGGGAGTCTTCATTTCCTTCCTTTCTTTCCAAGAACCTACTATGTACCATGCCCTAGTGGTGCACCTTAGAAGTGGTAGTAACCCTAATAGAACTTTGGCAAGGCATTCTTGCCTTCTTACCCTTCCATTGGCCCAGGAGTAGTGTTCTCCCTGCTTTGTACGGGGAGTAGACAGAGTTCCATGCGTTTTCACAAGCAAACTCAGACTTTGAGAAGAGTTTGCATTTGCCCAGGGTCACAAGCAGATAAGTGATTGGGAATTTGAAACCCAGTTCTTGAAGTGTTTGTTTCCCTACTCCAGGCCAAAGAGGAACTGGAGGTACTTAAGGGTGGAGAAATAAGAATGAGGTCTTAGGTCAAGGTGGTGTTGAGTTAGAGAAGAAGCAAATCTTCCTAGATGGTTTCGTTTATCCCTCTTTTCATTCAACACTCGTGAATTGAACACCTGTTTTGTGCTAGGTTGTAAATTAAAAGAGAGACTCACAGTCATGACCCACACAGGAGCTGACATCCTCCTGTGCCTGAGGTGGTTAATTAAAACTGGATAATTTCGATGGGCGGTGGTGGCGCACGCCTGTAATCCCAGCACTTGGGGGGCAGAGGCAGGCGGATCTCTGTGAGTTCGAGACCAGCCTGGTCTACAAGAGCTAGTTCCAGGACAGCCTCCAAAGCCACAGAGAAACCCTGTCTGTAAAAACCAAAAAAAAAAAAGAAAAAAGAAAAAAAACCAAAACGGGGATAATTTCAGATGGGTAAGTGTTGTGTGAAAGAAAGCATGGAGCAGGCGTGGTGGCACACGCCTTTAATCCGGCACCTGGGAGGCAAGGGCTGGAGAACTCCTGTGAGCTCAGGGCAGTCTGTGTACATGGTGAGATCTTCTCCCCACCCCTCCACCCCCCAAAAAAGAAAGGAAAATGGGGTTGGGATGTATGATAGTCTGGGCAAGTGTCTGAGTTGGCATTTGAGGTAGTTGAATTTTGTGACGCTCAGGGAAATGAAAATTTTCTAGATAGAAGGCACGTTAAGTGCTGAGCCCTAATGTGGTATTGATCTTGGCGGCTGTCCTGAAGGTGCTGAGAAGGGAAAGGACTAGATAGGTAGATAGGGCGTGGTGAGTGTGGCGTGGAATGTGGATTTTGCTTTAGGCTGGGTAGAAGGGAGGGACATATCATCGGGATGACCCATTCTATAAAGGAAGTTCTGCAAAGTTGGGAAGATGGGCCTGGGTCATCCTCCTGGCCCTGATGGGCTACAGGGTTGGGATGGGGATGGAGTTCTATCAGGGAGGAGGAGAGTGGGGACTGTCTGTTTAGGCATTTCTGTACCCTGCTCCCTAACTGGCATAGGGGTGGGGGCTGGGGCAGTGAGGGACCTGGACCAGGCTGTGACTCTCTGCTTCCCCCCAGTGTTCATCTCCAGCTACATGGTGTTGGCACCAGTGTTTGGCTACCTGGGTGACAGGTACAATCGAAAGTACCTCATGTGCGGGGGCATTGCCTTCTGGTCCCTGGTGACACTGGGGTCATCCTTCATCCCCAGAGAGGTGAGGCCCTGAACTGTCTTCCCCACTTCCCATCAGTATTTGCTGTTGCTCTTTGGGGTCATTTTGGATTGAGTGGGGGGTACCTCTGTAGTTTCCGTGGTCTCTGCCATTGCCTGAGTTAACTGGCCCACTCTTTGCTGTTCACTTTTCTTCTAGAGCTTTCTTCCACTCATCACTTTGCTCATCCCCTAACTCCCACTGCATACCTAAGCATTGCTTTTTCTTCACCATTGATCTCTGTGCAGATGGCCGCCGTCCTCTCCCTTCCTGGTATTGGGCTTCCTCTTAAGCCTGGTGCTAGTGCGGGTGAGAGAGCAGCCAGGGGCAGCTGTCACTTGGCTTGCACTTCCTCGGTTCACCCACCCTCAATTGCTGTCCCTGCCGCTCTGTCGGCTCTGTCGACAACAGTGTTCTCCTGGTTGCTTCATGTGGCTCTCCTTCTGGCCCCATTCGTGCCAGATCTCTGTGGAGCCTCTGACACAGTGACCCACTTCTTCCTTCCAAAAACTCTAAAAACACATGATGCCACGTGTTTCCCTCCCAATTCCCTGGCAGATGCTTTTTTGTGTCTTTGAAATCTTCCCCTCTGCTGTCCTCAGCCCCAGGCCCTAGTGCCCTCAGGCGATCATGTGCCCTGGCCTTAGCTCCAGGTGCCTTTGGTAAGCAGACAGCCCCCCAGTTAAAATAAGGATTCACCATGGGCGGGGGGGGGTCTTAGGCGGGAGGGAAAAGTAGAAACCCAAGGTTTATTTTGCACCTACTGAGTGCAAAGCCCTCACAGTATGGTTGTGAACAAACTGTTGTTGTTCCCCTTTTGCAGATGAGGAAACTGAGGCTCAGAGAGGTTAAGTTATTTTCTCAAAGTCACAGCTAGTAAGTGGAACCAGGATTCCAGCCAGGTCTGTGTGATTCCAAACCCAGGCCTCTCTCACTGTCCCTGCTGTCCCTCCAGCACTAGCTGGAGAGGTCTCCTGGGAGCCTGGCTCCAGGGTGGGATGCCACCTCCCCCATGTCTCCTTTCCCAGCGCTTCTGGCTGCTCCTCCTGACCCGGGGCCTGGTGGGGGTCGGGGAGGCCAGTTACTCCACCATTGCGCCCACTCTGATCGCCGACCTCTTCGTGGCAGACCAGCGGAGTCGGATGCTCAGCGTCTTCTACTTTGCCATTCCTGTGGGCAGGTGAGTAGGCCATGGGTCTGATGTTGGGCAAGGACTTGATGGGGTGTTTGACTGACCACATGGACCCCCTTCCTCTTTGCCTTCCCACAGTGGTCTAGGTTACATTGCAGGCTCCAAAGTGAAGGATGTGGCTGGAGACTGGCACTGGGCTTTGCGGGTGAGTCTGGTTATCATTTGGGGATTAAGCAGCATTCTTACTGATCTCCCTTTCTGCTCTGCAGATATTCCCTTTTTAACTCTCTTTAAAAAAAAAAAAAAAAAAGTGTGTGTGTGCGTGCATGCATGCCTGACCGTCGGAGCCAGAGGTTAACTAGCTTTCTCTTTCACCTGAAGGTCCTGGAGATTGAATTCAGGTTGTGAGGCTTGGCTGCAAGACTCACTAAGCCAGCTCTCTGGCCTCACACACTCCCTTTTTGTGGCAGTGCTCACTGTGCTGACCTGAGCCCACAGCAAGCCTGGTCCTCAGTAGGGAGCCAAAAGTCTCGATTGCACATATGAATCTGTAAGCCCCAGAAAGGGACACTATTAGCTTTCCTGATGGAAAGTGAAGCTGGCCCAGGATTCCCTTGCCATCACTGGAGTCACTTGCTTTGTGTTTTAGCTTTCCTTCTCCCATGTTAACTTTATCTGGGAGTCCCAAGTGATGGTCTTTCAACTGAGCAACTTGGGCACCTCAGATCCTTGAACAATGGTCATGAGATGGTGTCTGGTGGATGTACGTGGCTCACGTGCCCATTATGTAATCAGTTATGGAAGGCAGGAGATTAACAGCCCTTTAGGTTAGGCCTTAGAGCTGGTTTGAACCATATGGAGTAAGGGAAATTTGGGTGAGGGTCCCTGAAACAAAATCAGGGTGCTGTTACCAAAGAAGGAGATGTAGGCCTGTAAAAATAGGATGTCCCCCGTAGCAAACCTTCTCAGGTCCCAGTCTCTCCATCTCTGAACCAGCCCATATGGAGTTTAAGACCTGGGGAGCTGAACTGTCTGACCTCCTTGCTCTGTGGCTCCAGAGGTTCAGTATACCCCTGCCCTGTACCCCAAAGCTTGCTCTTTCTCCAGGTGACACCAGGTCTGGGAGTTGTGGCTGTTCTACTGCTGTTCCTGGTGGTACAAGAGCCCCCAAGGGGAGCTGTGGAGCGGCACTCAGGTTCCCCACCCCTGAGCCCCACCTCATGGTGGGCAGATCTGAAGGCGCTGGCACGAAAGTGAGTTTACCCCTTTCTTCCACATCTCAGGCCTTCACAGGCTAGAGTCTTTAACAGGTCAAGTTTTGTGTCCTGCCAGGCGGCCATGTTTAGGGCCAGAGACCCAGGCATTGCTTCTTGCTTGTGGCATTTGCCTGAGACACTGGCATAGGTCACATCCAACTTCCGACAGTAGAATAAGCCAGGGAGGGAGGAGAGGGCACACCCATGGTTCTGACTTCCTCCCAATGTCTGCAGTCCTAGTTTCGTCCTGTCTTCCCTCGGCTTCACTGCCGTGGCTTTTGTCACCGGCTCCCTGGCTCTCTGGGCCCCAGCATTCCTGCTGCGCTCCCGTGTTGTTCTAGGAGAGACCCTGCCCTGTCTCCCTGGAGACTCGTGTTCTTCCTCTGACAGGTACGTGGGAAGGGCTAGGTGGGGTGACTGCATGTGGGGGACATAAGGGGAATCCAGATTCAGACCAGGAGAGTTTGAATTCTGACTCTACCAGCTACCTCCACTCTTGGAGTGTCAGTTTCCGGTTCTGAGAACCATGTGATAAGGTAACACATTGGCTCTGGGGTTCTGTGCTGGATGGATCTGGGTATGAGGACAGTTGGGGTGGGCTGTCCTCGCTGGGTCAGAGGGCTTTACGGGAGGAGTAGCTCCCGTGTGCCTGCAGTAGAATACACCAGGGAGGGAGTCTCATCTTTGGGCTCACCCCTAGTCTCATCTTTGGACTCATCACATGCCTGACTGGAGTCTTGGGTGTGGGACTGGGTGTGGAGATCAGCCGCCGCCTTCGCCGCTTCAATCCTCGGGCTGACCCACTGGTCTGTGCTGCTGGCCTCCTGGGCTCCGCGCCTTTCCTCTTCCTGTCCCTGGCCTGTGCCCGAGGTAGCATCGTGGCCACCTACGTGAGTGAGATTCCAGGGGTCTAGTGGGTATTTTTGCATGGGGACAGGAGGGTGGTATGGCCTTCCTGGGTACCACCATGTCCACTGAAGATGGCTGCCAGCAGCTAACTCCATGTGCAGGGTCAGCCAGCAGAGTAGTTCAGGGCAGACTGAAGGTGGAATGCCTCCTTTCAAATCTCAGCCCTGGGCCTTCCCAGCTGGGTGCCACTGGCAAAGCAGCATGACCCCTCTGTTTCCTCTGGTGTAAAGTGGTACTGAGGCTAGCGCCTGCCTTACAGGGTATGATGGGGACTAAGTGAGCTAATAAGCCTGGTCATGTGATTCCCTCCCTCTTCCGCCATCCAGATTTTTATCTTTATTGGGGAGACCCTGTTGTCCATGAACTGGGCCATCGTGGCTGACATCCTACTGGTGAGTAGCTGGGTAGAGGCTGAAGGGAGCAGGGCTATCAGGATCAGGAGATGACACTTGATCTGAATCCTGGCCTTTCCCCTTCAAACTTCTGCCACATGTGTACTTCAGAGACCAGCCACGGAGGGGACTCTGGGCCTGCCTTGGGCCCACATTGGGCTTTGGCCTTGTTTTCTCTGGGACCCCTACTGAATCTCCCCTTCCCCCCAGTATGTGGTGATCCCAACTCGACGCTCCACTGCTGAGGCCTTCCAGATCGTGCTGTCCCATTTGCTAGGTGATGCTGGGAGCCCTTACCTCATTGGTCTAGTGAGTACTGTCCCGTGATTGGGCTGGGATGGTATCGGGACCTGGTACTCCCTACTCTGGCAGATGGCTGGTGGATGGGATAGTCTGACCTACTGAGGCAATAGCCACCTGTGGCTCTTTCACCCTTAGCGCCTCTGGTGGTTGGGAAGGAAGCTGGGTAAAGGTTTTACCTGTGGGGCTGTGGGTCTCACCCTGTGATTCAAACCATTCCTCTTTCTAGGCTCCATTTTTCATTTTCTTGGTGTTCAGGCCTCTCCGTCCCTGGGTCTCTGACTCTTTTTGTCCTAGCAGATTTCTGACCGCCTCCGACGGAGCTGGCCTGCTTCCTTCTTGTCTGAGTTCCGGGCCCTGCAGTTCTCGCTCATGCTCTGCGCTTTTGTTGGTGCACTGGGTGGTGCGGCCTTCCTGGGCACTGCCATGTTCATTGAGGATGACCGCCGACGGGCTCAACTCCACATGCAGGGTCAGTGAGGGCCACTGTCACCCCATATTCACAGTATCACCTGTCAGTCTGTCCATCTGTTGGCTCACAAGTATGCGCCCCACATCTCTTAGTCCACAGCTGTCCCATCCACCCAGGCCCATGCTGCCAGCCACCTGCCAGGGTTGATAGTACCAGCTTCCCAGTACCATCCCACTCAGCTTTCAGTCTGTCTTAAAGTGTATCATCAGGCTTTCTGTCTATACACAGTTCTGAGGACTCTTGCTGCTGTCTCGTCTATGCCCCTCTGCCTGTTTGTCTCCTGTCCCCTTGATGGCTTTTATGTGACTGGCCTTGGCTCCGACCCCTTCCCCACAGGTCTGTTGCATGAGACAGGACCCTCAGATGACCGGATTGTGGTGCCTCAGCGAGGCCGTTCTACCCGGGTCCCTGTGTCCAGCGTGCTCATCTGAGAAGCTGTTGCTCACCCAGCCACAGGTTCACCACAGCTGGCCCTGGGCCCACCCTGGGAGGTGCCCAGGCAGAAGCCCTCACCAGGTCCAGGTCCAAGGAAGAAGCCCTGGGATATGTCCCAGCTCCCAAACACTACATGGGCAGCCCAGGGAAGAGATGGGGTTCCAGAAGTGGGGGTTGTCCTGTCTATTAGGGCAGCCCAAGGGGTTTGGTGCTATTTGTAATGGAATAAAATTTGTAAGCAGACTATGACTGGCTGCTTGTCTCTCTGCGGGTGCCATTGGCTTCAGGGAATGTCTGTGGTCTCAGGACTTACTTACTAGGGGCAGTCGGGTCACCCTGTGGGTAAGTCCCTGTCTTCTGCGCTTGGGCCATCTAGGAGGACTGCTCTTTTCTGAGTGAGTTGGTTCAGTGTGACCGTGACTCACTGTGGTCCCCTGGAAGTTGTTCTCCCAGAAGCAAGCCTGGGAGGTGGAGGCAGTGCTGCCCTTGTTCCACACAGTCCCTGGCAGAACCTCATTAGAGTTCTTGTGCCCAGGGATGGGGAGGCCACAGCTGGCCTGGTTGGCATGTGTCTGCCTTCCTAGTGGAGCAGTTGCCTCATCCTGCAGCCTCAGACCTTTTCCTTCACAAGGTCCCTCTGCCTCCTCCCCCTTCCCACAGCTGGGTGGGGGTGAGTGGGCAGGGGGCAGGCGCAGCCGGCTGAGGAGCCTGATGATTTCCTGCCCTCACCACAGCTTCCTGTCGCACGCGGGTGGTGAGGAGGAGAGGCAGGCAGGCGGGGAGCAAGAAAGGGGCAGGTACAGCTGGGCACAGGGATCGTGCTGCTGGTAGCTGGGGCACAGGCCCCAGCTCAGGCTTTAGGACTAGCCTCTTCCAGCACTGAGCTCAACTCGGTCTAGCAAGGAAGTGGGGGTCATTGAACCCCAAAGGAGGACACAGCTGCTTGCCACTGGATCCCAGGCTGGGGCCCACTCAGTCCCACACCCCTGCTGCCACTCTGCCTAGAGGGGCTGCAGTGCAGCAGGGCCTGGGCCAGGTGCTCTGCAGATGGAAGCAGACACTCTGAGCCCCATGGGGCTGGGCCTCCTGCTGCTGCCTGTCCTGGTCACGCTCCTGGCTGCCCTGTGTGTGCGCTGCCGTGAGCTGCCAGGTAAGTGGGGAGCTGTGGAGTACTAGATGCTAGGCACACCATTGGATCCCCATGCCTTCCCCAGCCCCCGGCTTCCTCTAATTGTCCATACTTCAGTTCTGCCTGGGGGGGTACGGGACGGGATGGGATGGGACTGTCTTTGCTCCCAGTGCATTCTGATCCTGCCTCATTGGCTCTCTCTCTTCCAGTCTCCTATGACAGTGCTTCCACAGAGAGGTGAGTGTGCAGTCCCATTTCCCTGTGTGTCTTCCCTTTGTTCTGATGAAGGGCTGGGGCTGGGGCCCTCTTGGCCCTGTACCTAAGCTGCCTCTTTCCTGCCAGTTTGTACCCACGGAGCATCCTCATCAAACCATCTCGTGAGTTCAGTGTCCTTGGCCTTCTTTGAGGGTTCTTGGGAGTATGCCTTTGTCCCGCTAAGATGCCTGCAGGGCTATTGCCTGGGTTGGGGGAAAGTTGGAGCCCCCATGCCTGTTTAGCACATGTTTTTTAGGGGTACATCTGTCCTTAGAGGCCTTGTCACCCGCAGGGGGGTTGTCTGGAGTAATTCCCTCAAGCTTGGTTCTATGTCCTCAGAAACAGGCTTCCCCCGAACAACTGCCACTTCCTATCCTCTTGTTACTTCCTTCCCACCCCTGAGGCAGCCAGACCTGCTCCCCATTCCGTGAGTACCCCTCAGCTCCCTCCCTCTGATCCATTGTGCCTCCTTACCTTTTAGGATGGGGGGGTGGCTTTTTCCCTGTTGTAACCCCTCTTGCCCCCAGATTCCTACTTAGACCTGGTCCCTGACCCTTGACTTCCAGGAGATCCCCACAGCCCCTTGGAGGTTCCCATCAGATGCCGTCTTCCCGGCAGGATTCGGATGATGGTAAGGGCGCACAGGGCTGGAGGGCTGGGGAGAGGGTGTGCAGCCTCAGCTGACTCCATCTTCCTCTCCCTCTCTCTTTGAAGCCAACAGTGTGGCGAGCTACGAGAACCAGGGTGGGTCTAGGGTCTGGGGTACTGGGTGGGGTGGGGAGGCTGGGTCTATCCCAGGTCACGTTGACTTCTCTCTCATTCCTCATAGAGCCAGCCTGTGAGAATGCGGCCGAAGATGAAGATGAGGATGACTACCCCAATGAGGGCTACCTGTGAGTGGGGGGTGGGAGGTGGGAGTGGAAAGTTGGTGCCCTTTCTTACCTCCTCATCCCTTCCTTCCAGAGAGGTGCTTCCTGACAGCACCCCTGCCGCCATTCCTGTCGTCTCCTCTGCTCCCGTGCCCAGCAACCCTGGTCTCCGAGACAGCGCCTTCTCCAGTGAGTTAGGGTCTCTGACTACCTCCTTCCGCCATGTGCCGCCGGCTATGCCTCTCTTCCCTCTCATTTCTGCGATCGCCACCCTTCCATTTCCTCCCTCAGATCTTGGACTTCCTGCTCCTCACTTCTGATCACCTTGCTTTTCCTTTCGCCTTCCCTCCCTCTTTGTCTTATCATTTTATCTGTTGTCTAAGAAATTCCCTGACTCGTCTTTAACCTTTCCACTGAAATCGTATTTCTCAGCTGGATGTGTAGGCATGCGCCTATAACCCTGGCACGAGGGATCTAGGTAGGAGGGTTGGCTTTGAGGCTAGCCTGGACAATACAGTGAGACCCTGTCTCAAAAACCAAAACAGCACTACCACAAACAAAAAGAAAAGAAAAATTCTTTTCTTTTGTCGGAAAACTCTTTTTTGGGGAGGGAGAGGGACGATTCTTGGTGTTCTTTTTATTTTATTTATTTATTTATTTATTTGTTTGTTTGTTTATTTATTTATTTATTTTGGTTTTTCGAGACAGGGTTTCCCTGTGGCTTTGGAGGCTGTCCTGGAACTAGCTCTTGTAGACCGGGCTGGTTTCGAACTCACAGTGATCCACCTGCCTCTGCCTCCCGAGTGCTGGGATTAAAGGCGTGCGCCACCACTGCCCAGCTTGGTGTTCTTTTTATTAAGCACCCTGTTCTTGTTTCATGGAAGTGATATCGTCTAATGTATCTGTAAGGTCTTTGGTTGGAGGTTGTTTCTCTCTCTGTCTCTGTAGGCCTGTCTCTCACTCACTCACACTCTCTCACTGAAGCTCCTTCTGCTTTACCATGTGGTCTTTGTTTCTCTTGGGCTGCATTTTTTTGCTTTGGTCTCTTTTCCTTCCTGCTCTCTTTTCCTGGACTTTCCCTAGGGTTTGGTGATCTTCAGTTTTCTACCTCTTCTCTCTGTATATCACAGCTGTCCCTTACCTGAAACACATACACACAGATTTGGGGATATTTATAGACATACAATGAATTCTGTTGTGGGTGGAACTCAAGGTTAAACATGGAATTAATTCATTTATTTATATATATACCATATATATTTATATACACACTCTATGTGTGTATATATAGTCTGAAAGAAGGATTTTGTTTTGTTTTGTTTTTTTGAGGCAAGGTCTCACTATATAACCCTGGCTGTCCTGGCACTCGCTCTGGAGAACAGGCTGACCTCAAACTCACAGAGCTCTGCCTGCCTCTGCCTCCCGAGTGCTGGGATTAAAGGCCACCATGCTCAGCCCTGGAGGAAGTTTATGCAAAATTTAATTAATCTTTTGCATGAAACCAAAATTTCATGGTGTGGAATTTTCCACTTGTTACCTCTCACCAGTACTTAGAAGGTTTGGGATTTTAGAATATTCTCAATTTTGGAGTTTTAATTCAGGAATACCCAGCCTTCTGTATTTACCCTGGAATATTATGTCTGTACCTTGGCTATGTTTGTTTTGTGGGTTTTGTTTTGTTTGAGGCAGAATCTCACTGTGTAGCCCTGGCTGCCCTGGAGCTCACTTTGTAGACTAGTCCAGCCTTTAACTCAGAGATTCAATTCCCTCTGCCTACTGGGTGCTGGGATTATAGGCATGTTCCACCACACCTGACCTCTGGTTCCATTTGTAGTCCATATTTCTAATTTGTCATTTCTCTCCTGAATCCCGAGACTGATTCCATCCATCCATCCATCCATCCATCCATCCATCCATCCATCCCCTCACCCCCTCACTCATTTCCTGGATATGTCTGCTGGGTTATGTTAGGGATTTAGTGAGTCAGTCCAGCAAATTCGTAGTGATAAAAGAATCATTGCTAGGGGCAAAATGACTAATTTTAAGTTCAGCTAGAGGCCCTGTATCAAGGGACGGAGGTGGAGTGGATAAAGCCTCCATGTGTTCATGGGATTGTGCGTCTGCATAGCACACGCACAGAGATGATAAAAGACCTATGGTAACTGAGGACCTATTTTATACCTGTGTAGTAGATATAACTCATTAAACCTCACAGTTCCTGGGTGCTCTGCTGACTACCCCTTCCCCTCCTGCCCCTCACTTCTGTCTCTGTACTATGCTAGGGTTTAATTCATTTCTATTTACTGACTGACTGACTGACTGACTGATTGATTGATTGATTGATTGACATAGTCTTGCTATTGTGATGCCCGGTTTGGCTTTTAAGCCCATAGCTCAAGTTGCTCCTGCCTCAGTCTTTGGAGACCACAAGCATGTGTCACCATGCCCAGCATGTTTATTAGCAGATACTTGGTAGCACACTGTGTATGGCAAGCTCTGTTTTACAATTTACAATAGTCCTTCGGGGCAGGTCCTGTTATGAACTTTATTCTGCAGATAAGGAAACTGAGAGGCACAGAGTGTTTAAGTAACTTATCTGAGGTTATTTAGCTGGTTGGTGCTGGAGCTGGGATTTGAACTAGAATAGTTGGCTCCAAAGCCCAGCCTGTCTACATGATCATACAGAAACCAGGCAACTGTGAAACCAGAAAGCAAAAAGCCATGTAACATAGCGAGTGATATGCGTGGGCCTGGGAAGGTACAGTGTGGGCAGTGGCTGGTAATATTGAGAAGCGAGACAGGTCTGATGAAGAGAGGACACCATCTGGACCAAGTGTGTCTTCTCTTCCACATGCCACCAAGATGTCTGTACTCTGAGCTCCTTTGATCCCTGCTCCCAGCTGTACTGCCAGAGTCCTGCACTGTCACTGTTTCATTTCCCCAGTGGATCCCTGTCCCCTGTGGCCCTTGCCCTTGCCCAGGCTTCTCCCCCTTGCTTTTCTTGAACATTCTTTCTATATCCTGTGGGACTGCTTCAGGGGAAGGCTGTGTTTGGAAACCTGGGGGGCCTCTGGGAACCAGTGCCTGTCTGAGAGTCTTCTAGTAACTGCACTGCAATGCTGTCCTACAGTGGAGTCGGGTGAGGATTATGTGAACGTCCCTGAGAGCGAGGAAAGTGCAGAAGCATCTCTGGGTAGGTGACTGTGTTCCGTGTGTGGCCCACAGCCCCTTCCCACCCTCCACGCAGTCCTGCCCTTCACACGACTGTCCCTCTTGATCTGTCCTCCACAGATGGCAGCCGGGAGTACGTGAATGTGTCCCAGGAGCTGCAGCCGGTGACCGGGGCTGAGCTGGGTGTGTACCAAGGTGTAAGGGGAGCTGCCTTGAGCAGATAGCCTGCAGGCTGAACACCAATCTCCCTCTGCCTTTCCCTCCCAGACACCATGAAGTCCCAGGTTGTGGAAGATGAAGGAGAAGAGGAGGGAGTGGAGGGAGAGGAAGCCCCCGATTATGAGAATCTGCAGGAACTTAACTGAGAGCCTGGTGAGTGGACTCTGTCCTCACCCCTGCCTTGGGCCTTCTCTCCAGGACTCCCTTCCTGGCCACCCCCAGAGGCCAGGCACATACCTTGTGGCTCTGGATAGCGACTGGTTTCATGACTCAGTGACTCTGTCCTCCCTGTCTCCCCTGCCCTGTTGTGTTTCAGCTGCAGCCGTCTGTCCTGGAACTAGCCTTGCTGGGAGGGCAGAACTGAGCAGCTGGGAGTGGCTCTAAAGGAGTCCCATTCGACCTCTGCCTTTTCAACAGTCTGAGAATCTCCCCTAACTTATTGTCACTTTGGAGTCCAGTCTGTATCCCCAGTATTCAGCACCTTCTGATGAAGCCTGAGAATGAATCTAGTTCCTGTCTGACTCTGTTGTGGAATAAAGGCCATTATGGCCCAAAGTCTTCCTTTTGTTGTTTTGTTTTGTTTTTAATGGGGCAGGGTCTTGCTGCATACATAAGGCTGACCTTGAACTTGTGGGTGATCATCCTGCCTCCCTGGTGCTGGGATTACAGGTGTGTACCAATATGCATAGCTGTCAGCAGCCCTGTTGGTTTTGGGGTCCTGGAAGGCTGTGTAAGGTAGTGTTGTGTTGAGAGCTGCCCTTTTCTTTGTGGGATATTTGTGAATGTGGGCATACATGACTGACCTATGGGTCTAGGTGTGTGTGTGTGTGTGTGTGTGTGTGTACAAATCTGCAGTCAGAGTGTCTGGATAGCTCTGTCTTTCTGTCTGTTTGTGGCTCTCCCTCCTCCACAGGGGCCCTACCACACTCGCAACAGTCTTGGTTAAATGCTGTAAGTGACAACAGACAATGACTTGGACTTAGCCATTTTCTGAGTGAGACCTCTGACCCAGCCTGGCCCTTCTGGGGTTGAGAATGTATCTCGTAAGGTAGTTAATGGATGTGCAGCTGTTTATTGTGAGAGTTGGCAGAGCAGGGTACAGGGCACCACTAGGTAGAGAGTATGTGTCAGCAACAAGACCCTACCTTGGTGACCCTCATTCCTTCCACTTGTAAAACAAAGGGCTGGCCCTGATGACCTCCGTAGGTGTCTTGGTTCTTGTCTTTTGCATGGTTCTCTGTGAAATAACTAGAGTGGTCTGAGCAAGTCAGACACAGTGGTGTGTACTGGCAGTCTCAGTTGCTCAAGGGTCGAGTGGGAGGATTTCTGGAGCCCACGAGTTTAAAAGCCAGCCTGGTACACACAATGGGAACATATCTTACCCCGCACCAAAGTGTCTAAGGCAGCTGAAGTTCAGGTGCAGCCAGCACGTGTCAGTGCTGCCGTGTGACGACACGCCTGCGGGTCTCACTGCAGGGCCAGCGTACTCAGGCTGGAAGTGGGAATGGCCTGGTGAGTGTGCTTATTCGCCTGGCCTGGCTCCATCGCCTGTGTTCTGGGAGTTTCCTCCTGGCCTCCTTCAGGACCCACTCTTGTCCCAGTTCCATTCTGTGTGGGTTTAGAGGCGCCAACCCAGCTCTCCATCCTGGGACGTGAGCTAGTCCTTTCCTGCCTTGCACAATGGTTCAGGTCCCTGCTGCCTGTTGATCCCAGTTGTTACTGGGCCAGAAGGATGTAGTTCAGGAGAGCCCATTTGCCTGTGAATGAAGCCACGGAAAGGAGAAAGGTGGTTTAAACATGACCATTTTCCTGAGTCTAATCACACATGAGCAAGATGACCTCTACAACCTCTGGGTCATGTGGGCCAGTAAATCACAGTGTGTCAGCAACTGGCTTGGAGTGTCTGTTGTGTAACCAACGCTGTTTTGATGGATACACAGAGTTAGTGGTTCTCTCTGGCTGTGAAGTAATCTGAGCTCTGGGTACCACCCCCCCATCCCATAATCACTGTGGCTTTCCTGTTGACAGTTATGGCTAGTGTCTACATTTTGTAGGTAAGAGAACAGGCTCAGAGAGGTGAGCTAACTTGCTCAAAGATGCACAGCCAGAAAGGTCAGTCTAGGCCTCCAGAGTTACCACAATGCTTCTTGGTAGCCTCTTTATTCTGGTTATTTTGCAAAGTGCCAACAACAGCTGAAGACAGGGAAGCCCTACAGATTATCCAGCTGCAGCAGACTGAAGAGGGAGGGTCTGGGAAGCCTCAGCATAAGTTAATGGGTTTAGATCCTTTTATTTGGGTGGTGTGGGCAGGATGAATAGGCAGAGACACCTACAGCAGTTTACTTACAGAGGCAAATTGGCAGAACAACCTTGGTTAACAATCTAGCAACAAGTGGTAAAGCCAAAGACAGGGAGGCCCTTTTGCTTACTTAGTAGGACTTTTACCAGCTCAGTGGGTGTACGGGCATGAGCTATACAGAGCAGTATTGTAGTGGCCACAGCAGGAAATGAAAGAGGGACCCAGTGATGGTGGATGGGTGGAATGCCATCATGGCGGGATGCTGTCACTGGCGGGTGGGATGCCATCACTGGCGGGTGGGATGTCGTCACTGGCGGGTGGGATGCCGTCACTGGTGGGTAGGATGTCATCACTGGCGGGATGCCATCAGCAGGAGAGACATCGCTGGCAGAACATGCATGCATCAAGGCAGTCAAGCAGTCATGTGAAAGCGGTTAAAGATGTGAAATGGGTTGTGGGACCCTTGCCGGGAGCTCCATGCTGACTTGGTTTCATTTGTTTAGACAGGATCTCATTGTTTAGCCCTGGCTGCCCTGGAACTCTGACCTTGAACTCACAGAGATCCATCTGTCTCTGCTTGGATTTATTATTATTATTTTAATTTGGAATGTTTGGCTATCTTGGGACTGAGATCCAAATGTAAACATGGAATTCTTATATTTTGTATACATCTTCTACACATAGTTTGAGGGCAGCTTTATACATTATTTTGAATGTACTTGCATTTGACTGAAACCGACTCCATGAAGTCACAAGTGGATTTTCTGCTCAGCACATCATGTCAGCACTTGGAATGTTTTTTTGTTTGTTTGTTTTTGTTTTGGTTTTGGTTTTGGTTTTTTCGAGACAGGGTTTCTCTGAGTGGCTTTGGAGCCTATCCTGGCACTCGCTCTGGAGACCAGGCTGACCTTGAACTCACAGAGATCCGCCTCCCTCTGCCTCCCGAGTGCTGGGATTAAAGGCATGCGCCACCAACGCCCAGCCGGAATGTTTTATATTTTGGAGTATATCGGGTTTTAGATGTTTGGATTAGGGATGTTCTTTGCGTTGTTCAGGGACACACATATGTGGTGTATCAAGGCAGGTGTGTAGGAGGGAAGAATACCAAATTCAGGACAGTGTTACCTTGGGTGGAGGGAGAGAACTGAGATGTGGGTTCGACAAAGACCTCAGTGAACTGTGCAGTTTTGCCCGGGGTAGTCAGTGGTAGACCACTTGTGCATGAGGGAAATTCTGAACTCATTCCCTAGCTCTGCTTCCCCAAAACATTTTAATGGGTCAGGGTTCCACAAGTGTTTGATAATTAGTCTTGTGTTTTCAGATCTGAGTGATTTCATAATTAAAATCAAGGGCCGGGGCATGGTGTATGGCTTTAACTCTAGCACTTGGGAGGCTGAGGCAGGCAGAGCCTGTGAGTTCAAGGCCAGATTGGTCTACAGAGCAAGTTCCAGGTCTGCTAGGTCTACATAGCAATACCCTGTCTGAAAAACAAACAAACCAAATAAACACAAAACAAAAACAAGATCTTTCAGGGGCCATGGCAAAAGTAACCTTGGACCTGTAAGAGACTTGACTTGGGCTGCTTCAGAGAAAGTTGCCAGCATTTTAAGAATAACCCCTTTTTAACATAAGCTGCCTTCAATCCTTCCCTCCTGATACATAGCATTTGAGCCTATAAAAAGTAGCTTGTAGAAAGAAAGTAACATTTCAAAGGAATAGTAGGTAAGTAGTGTGTGGCATAAGCAGCCATGGGAGTGAGTGTCATTGGTTGGTTTGTGACAATTGGATGAATTGCCCAAGGTGCTCCAGGCTTTAGGGGCAACATATACTAAGACCCTGAGGTGCTGTTGAACTAAAGAAATACCACATTAGGATCCTGGAAAAAGCACAAGCATGTGTAGTAGTCTTTCTCTGTCCTGCCATCCAGCTCCCAAATCACAACATGGAGACCTATTTATTATTTGTGAAAGCTTGGCTAATAACTCAGGCTTGTTTCTAACTAAGTCTTATAACTTAAACTGACCCATTTCAATTAATTTATAGGCTGCCATGTAGCTCATGTCTTGTTACCTCATCTCCTACATGTCATGCATCCTCTGTATCTCCTTGTGACTCCACCATTCTTCCCAGCATCCTATGTGCCTGGAAAGCCTGCCTAGCTATTGGCCATTCAGTTCTTTATTAAACCAATCTGAGTGACATATCTTCTTCACAGTGTACAAAAAGATTATTCCACAAGAGACATGAGGTCAGACAGAGGGGTTGAGCAGGCTGACAGCTTCATCCCAAGTTCTTGGGTGGTTTCTGGAGGCTGTGGAACCCAGGATGACATGGCCAAGTTTTTGTTTTAGCAGCTATCTCTGCATTAGTTGCTGTGGAGGCTGACTAGGGGAGGCAAATGGCCTAGAGGTGGGAGAGTGTGAGGAGGCTGTGGGCTAGCAGAGAAATGGCCATATAATCCAGGGACCACAGTGATTGGTTGGCTGTGGCTGGGAGGCACAAGGAGAGCCTGGTTGATGATTGTCTTCCAGAGTCACCAGTTCGCCACCACACCTATATTTTTATATACATGCTGGGATCTGAACTCAGGCCCTCATGCTTAGATCGAGCAATTTACCCACTCAGTCACCTCCCCAGCTCTCAGCTCTTCTCTGCTGGTTCGTCTTCTCACAGCTTTTCCCTGTGTGGTCATGTGATGGTTTTGTCTGCTCTAGAGACCACATCCTTCTTGCATCCCATGAAATTGTCTGGGCCTCTCCAGCAGAAACACTAAAATTATCCTGATTGGTCTTCATTGAGACACATGACTCCTTTGAACCAATCACTGGCTGATAGGACTCCCATGTGCTGACTAGCTTAGGCTTGCCCATGTACTACCCAGAACTCAGAGAGACTAGAAATGTGAAGGCATCTGAAGAAAACCAGGTGCTCTACTGCTGCGACGTGTGTGTGTGTGTGTGTGTGTGTGTGTGTGTGTGTGTGTGTGTTTACTGCTGCGACGTGTGTGTGTGTGTGTGTGTGTGTGTGTGTAAGTGTTCCACTTACCGTGATTACGCTGCACTCATAGGACCCCCCGTTCTGTAGACAAGGAAACAGGCCCTGGAGTTTAAATGGTTTTTTTAAGGTCACGCAGCTAACTCCACAGTTATTAACAGAAACACAGTTTGGCTGGGAGGTAGAGGAAGGGGAGCTGTGTACCGTTACATGTTGGCAAAGGAAAAAACACGCCAAATCAAAAGACTAACTACAGCCGGCTAGTTCT